GACAACGAGCAATGGTGGATTGCACCGGTTTGAGCTTGAGACAACGAGCAATGGTGGATTGCACCGGTTTGAGCTTGAGACAATGAGCAATGGTGGATTGCACCCGTTTGAGTTTGAGTCATGACGAAGGAGCAAGCGCTTGCTACTTGCTGAAGTCTACGGACACATATAGATAACAATTCATGGATATCCAGCTAGGCTAGAATAGACTCCACATCAAATGCCTTCAACCGAGAGTGAGCTTCCGCTGCTGTTCACCAATGATTGGGAGGAGTTCAACCCCACTGAAGGCTTGAAAGACTTGAAGAATCCCGGCAAGACGCAGAAATCCAGGGTACAAATCAGACTCCAGTACGCTCACGATTGGTTGGCTTGCGTAAAGTACCTTCAAGACTCCTTCGATGCGATATTGCCGGCGTTGGGCGAGGCCCAAATTGGTTCGCTCCGTAAGTTCTTTATCAGTTCCATAAAGAAGAATTCATTAACCTTTATCCAGCGGAGCGATTCAACACGCGCGTCTTATGGGAGTGGCAGCATATGGTTGAGCCAGTTATAACGCAGCTTGTTCCGCTTGCGGAAAACAACACCACTCTGCTGGCCATTTCGGGAACCCCAAGAAAGGCCGGAAAGCCTTCCACTATGGCCGATCTGATCAAGGACATCAAGGAACAACAGCGCGCATGCAAGAGCGCTTTGGACAATTTGACCAAGCGCATAGGTGTACCTGAGGATTACACTGCATCAAAGGGCGCCAGAGTCCCCACCCAATCACCCATTGAGCTTATTTTCGAGGCTTGGGTACACCAGGTACACCAGGTACACGGTAGGGTCCCCAATCTTCCAGGAAAGATGAGGTGCACGTTGCTAACAAAACCTCAAAGGTGATTTGGGCCGCACCGGAGATACTCCGCAGCTCTGCAGCCTGCTAGGTACCAAGTTGGCCGAGCTCCGAGCCGCGCATCCTTTGAGAGAAGTCCCCGCCAAACGAAGAGTGCTATACTGGCCGCGAACAATCCACATCGACTTCTGCTGCTGCATCACAGGGAGCACCAAACCCGATGTGGATTGGCCTTACGACAGCTCCAAAAAACCCTTCTTCAGCATCTGGAAAGCTCGGACGAACATGAACAACAACAAATTCTGGGGAAAGTACCAGCAAGCATTCAACCTGTGCGAGACGCTGCACGACTGCCCGAAGGGCAGGTTGTCAGAAGAGAAGATAAGAGCACTCCCAGCTTCGCCTCGTTTCATGCAGAAGCATACCGCTCAAGCCATCGGCGCAGACCTGAAGATGAAAGCGGCATGCCCAACTTGCAGGGTAGTTTGGGGGTATAGGGAGGTTAAGGTTCCGCCGCCATACTATCACAGGGTTTGCTGGCCGGGCTCTTGCGCGGAGTATCCATCGGCGATAAGGTGCCACACTCTTTACCCTCGACTGACTGTTGGACTGGAGGAAGAGGAAGGCGAAGCGGAAAGAGAAGAGTGAAGAGGAGGGAAGTCAGTGATGAGAATAACCGGGGCCACACCCAGACGCCCCGGAAGGAAAAGAACGAGAGGAGATGGATGATCGTGCCCTAGGAGAGAGATCAATCGCGCTATCGTAGCACTAGACGGGCTTCGGTCACAACACGTTAGAAGCACAGACAGGGTTTCAGTGCCATAGCCTCTCCACTTCCCTGAATGTTACCGCGTGAGGTCTTGTTCAAGAATACCATCCTAACCCTTCGCACCACCCATCTCTCAACTATGCAGTGTCTTGTTTCCCCTTTCTGGGGGCCTTCTTCAAAGGCACGACGCGAGCTATGCCTTGTGGCGGACATTTAGTCAACCTGGGAGGATGGAAGATCGCACGGAGACTCTAAATAAGAGGAAGGAAGGGACTTTGGTCATTGGCAAGGGTGCAAGTTGCGCTGCGAAGTTGACGAGTTTGTATTCGGCTGTCTGCGTACGGAGGATCAGCTCGCCAACTGTTGTGCTGAGGTGCTGACAAAACATGTTGAGCCAGCTAAATTGACATCTTGACTAGGCAGGTGGGTCCAAACGTTCCATGTATCCGATATACCCAAGGCCTTTGGCCAGGATGGGCTAGTGGACACGGCAATACTACTGCGGCTCGTGGTCCCCATCATGGCCCAGTTTTGATGCCTCTGCCCATGCGGTATGTATGTTGGCATACTCGAGTATAAGTTCCGTTTCCCCGCGGTATGTCTCGTACTTTTACTGTTCGATCAGGTTGGGGATGCTGTTCTGCGTTGGATTAAACTTCACAATGTTGTCTTCAGCTGTGTACACCCAATGCTTTCTTTGGTCATTGAGGGGGGGGCGGGGACGGGGTGTGGTCAAGTTTCGGTTGCACGGCGCGCTATTCGATGCCGACTTCCTCTTTGATTATCGAGCGCTCCTTCATGGGGCTGTGACGCGTCGGCGATCCTCGCGGTGTGGCAAGACCATTGTTCTCATCAGCCAACCTGTTTCATTCTAAACCTCGTTTTCATCTAGTCCAGAAAAGCCAGTCTTGAATGATCTATTGCCGATTATCTACGGGAGCACGGGAAAAGATCGTATAATGGGTTGCATCCAGTTCTTCTATCTCGATGACTCGAGGGCCTCGAAATGGACTCCTTGCCGCCCGGTAGATCTCGGCTAACCAGCTACACTCACCGCACAAGAGTTCTGCGTCGTTCAGCCGTCGCCCGAACTCGGGATGGACTATCGTGCTAAAATGGGAAGATGATCGTGAAAGGAGAGATGGCTGCGTTGTTCAAGGCCATGGAGGAAGGTACGACGACGTGAAGCATGCTTGCTGCTCAAGGGAAGAGAGCATCGAAAGGCGAACGCGGAGAAACGAGTAAGGCATGACTCTGCAACCTAAGCCTTCAGCGAAAGAAGCCTCCGTCGCTGAAGCTGACGACGCCGATGCTATAAGAGGTAAGAAGGTTGAATTTGGCAACATCAGCATTGGTGTCGCCGTATACAACACGAGAGAAAAGGATATAGTAGACTCAATCGGAAACCGAACGGGAGAAGACGCTAACGCTGAGCGGATTACTTCAAGAGTCTCGGCCGCGCCGAAATCCCTCTATGTCAACGACATTTAGCGGACGCTGTTCGAGAAGTGCTGGGTAAGCAACCTCGATCTCAATACCATTCGTCAGATTGCCATGAAGTGCGCAGATGCGACTGGGGAGGGCAAGTGTCAAGATGGAGAATTTGGCCGAGAAGGCAAACAAGATCGAGGCCAACCTACTCAGGCCTGATGGCGCTCTCAAATGCCAGTGTGACCATTGGCATCTCTGTCCCACAAACGTACGACTACAACTTCCTTTCCAACGCGGATTCCGAGCGGGATATCGTGGCTACTGCATAAAAAAACACGTTTCATTAGACCAAGGATTATCCGGCATGCTGCTATCTTATCAGGCCTGTATGCAGGATTATGGGCAGGAGAAAGATGCTCGATAGGAAAATCTAGGGAGGCGGGACCAAATGTTCAATTATATCAGTTCCGATGTATAGATGTCCGTTCCTCTGGCGCAGATCGTTATGCTCGCATGTCCTCTATCACCTGAGTGGCCAAAGCGAACTCTTTTCAGATCCCTTGTCAACATCTAGAAGTGTTTTATAAACACTCTAGGCGCCAATCTATAAACTAGCTTCCGGTGTTCTTTTATAGGGAAGAAGTTTTATAGGGAAGAAGTTGGGTAAGTGCGGAGTTTTGCTCGGGGGTTACCGGATTCGGCTAGCGTAGTCGCTTAGCATTCACCCACCGGAGCTCGTAAGCACGTGTTTCTTATGTCCGTGTCCACTCGGTGCTTATTGTTCTGGGTCTTTCGGGGGCGTGTACACATCGTCGCCCGTATCTAGATGAAGAAAAAGTGCCGCGTCGTGCGAACGCCATTGCCAATCAAGGCAGGGCCCCTTCGTACCTAGTTCTATAGGTTAATCGACCCGTTATGTGCTCTCGCGTTGAACTGTCTTAGAGCTCTTTCATTGCACGTGTCTGGCCTATAGTCCCACAGGTGCGTTATCGTGTTGAAAACGTACTGTTGAATCTTACGTGGTAGTTTCTGCGCCTCAACCTCGCCGAACATGCCGTTGGGTAAGTGGGCGGTATTTAGTAGCTGGTGAGGCCATGGCAAGTCCCTCACTAGAAACCGCGTTCAGGTACGGCACACTGTTGATGAACCGTTCTGTCCCGAGGTCTACGATCGCGTCTCAGTCTTATCGGCCAATAATAAGCGCCTCACCGTAGTCTAAGTTCAGCAAGAACATCACGAGGTTGCTCAGGATCAGGCATATCGCCGCACTCAAGCACTACTACCTGCCCACGCCCATCTAGTCGATGCTGATCCCGAAGGGGAGGATGCGCGGCGGTACGGCCAGGATGGGAGAGGGGAAGCTGTTGGCGACTCTGATGCGGAACATGCCCTCGGTTGTGACGGACGCAGTGATCACGTCCGACATGGCGGCCACCGTTGTGCGCGGCCACCGCCGCAAGCGCACGATTAACTGCGACTGTCAGTCCCCGAAGCCCCTACCAACCGAAATCGTAGTCGGGCATACCCGTCCTTGTGCGTGAACGTGTTGGTCTCCTTGGACTTCAACATGCAGTCGTCGCAGATCGCGTACGCCTCCACTGCGGCGTCCTGGTCTACGACGAGCTCCATGGCCATGCCGGTGGTTATGCCCTAGAGTAGGAATCTCATCCTGTCTTGCATGATCTGCCTGTACCTGGCCTCGCCAACGATGTGGCTGACCTACTGAAAGCGAGATTATCTCCTTGTACAGCCTTGCGTATATGGGCATGGACAGGTAGTGGTGCTTGAGTGCGGCGATGTGCCTGATCCTAAGCAGGCCCATGATGCGAAGCACTTCCAGATTTTCATCGACAGGTGTGTGTCCGCGAGGACCATCGTGTCCCTGTCCGAGAAGTCACGAGTCATTGCAAAAAGTCTGAATGATTTAGATATTGAGTCCATTGCAAATGAAGATGGGCTCAGATGAGGCATTGCCATCCTCCAGGCACCTTCAGCATCCTCGCTAGGCGGTGCCGACCTATCCAAGCGCATGCCGGGCCGGGCTGGTTGATGCGACATGTGAGAGCGCAGCTGGACACCCATCTCGGGATCCAGAGACCTGGGGAAAGTCTGGCGAATGTCGGCAACCATACCTGTGGGACTCGCCCGGCTCGCTTGACGTATGGCGTCGTACAGCGCTTCTGTGTTCCCACAGTTTTATGGCTCCAGTTGCGCGCGCGAGTCCTTGTATTTATCGGTATTGTCCCACACTGCAGTTAGCCGGTTGAGTGCTGGGCAGGCTCCTCTCCAACCGGCCGCGGTCTACGAATTTGCGCCTTTCATCCAGCAATGTGCTCGAACTCGGTGCACAGGAGGAAATACGGGGTGTCCTGGTTCTGAAGGAGGACGGCGGGATCCGGGGTCGTGGGGGGCGCCGTATTCTTGGTGGGCGGAGGCTTGAGGGGTGCGGCCGGTGAAGCGAGAAGTCGATGGCGACATGTGCACATGATGCGAATCCCGAAAGGAACCCTTAGCGCTCACCACCCGTACGACGTTCATGTGGGCGAGCGCGGAAAACGAAGCCCTAGGTGCAACATCAGCGCAGTTAGAAGAGTGGTGAGGCATGCCAACTCCTACCTGGGAAGCTTGCGGGTTTCTGGCTGGGGCGTAAGCTGTTGCCCATTGCCGCTGGTGCGATTCGGTAGGTGATGAAAAAGCCTTGCCCTTGCTAGCAGCGACTTCGTTAAGCCCGAGCGTTGGCAAGTCGTATTACCCTGGGCAAAACTACCCTCATTGCGTCTTCCTGGGGATTGCGGGGGCTGAACCGCCCTTCTGGCTCCAGCGCGAAACTCATGCGTCTTTGCGAAGTGGTTGGGCTAGGAATAGTCTTCGGTGGTGAGGATCTGGAGAGAAGAACCAGGACCACCTGCTGAACAATCCGCTGGAGCTCCGAAAGGAAGGTTGGGTTCCCCTCCTCCCCCTAACCACCGACAAAACGGGACCTACAGTCACAGTCTCCTGTCAAATCCGCTCCAGCAAAAGCCCAGCATTCGCCTGCCGCGTCCATACTGCCTAGGGCATCACATATTTTATACCCTCCGGGCTTTGTTCGACGCTGCCAAAGTACTGCTCAAAACACCATGCCCTCTTCAGGCAGCGCCATGCCTCCTTCAACGTCATATCCGTGCGCCGGCGCTCAACCTGGCTGCTTCTGTTCAACCCATCAGGGCCCCACCGCCTGATCTCGTCCGTCAACATCGTGGGCACGCCTATGGCCTTGCTCGATTTCAAGAAGATGCTCATATACGCGGGGTGGGCCATGCAGGATTGAGGGGCAGATCGCGTCGAGGAACGATGGCGTGCAGGAGGTGCGAAACGCGCGTAAATGCCATGCAGGATCTGAATTCTTCTTCTTTCTCAATGCACTCCTGTGTGGCCGCGTCGATGGATGACTTCAGTTGTTGGGCCTGGTTGCAGATCTCCATAATAGGCCGTGCCTTGTCGTTTGCTTCAGCGAGAGCTGTGTTGAGGCCAGGAAGTCGTAAGCGGTTGCGTTGGTTCCTCAGCTGCACCCACCTTTCAAATGCGTCCTTTTCCGCGGCTGGCTCCTGACCTGCTCCCGGAAGGCTTGAATGGTAGTCGAGCAAGTTCTTTTCGTCAACCCGCGCAAATTCTTCAAGACTCTTAATCTCTTTCTCGATCACTCCCTTGCACTGCTGCAGTTACGCATAACTCGTCACTTGTAGAAGCGGTTATGACTTTTTCAACTTACTAAGGACAATCCGTCTTCTCCAAACTTCACTCCTCTAAAGGTTAAGTTGAGGGGAAAGAAGTAGAAGTGGCTTGACGCGGTCATACTATGCATCAGGTCCTGCTTCCACTCGCCGTTAACGACTGCCGGGCGATGCTTTTCCACGCGCGCGGAGCGAGAACGAAGTTAACGTCTCGTTCTTTCTCGAGGAATTCGCAAGAAGGGTCGCGAGGTACCGCGCCAACTTCCCACCCAAGGTCGTACTGACCTAACGTTCTGCACCGCGTTCGTATCCAGACTAATCTTCACACGACCGAGCCCTTCTGTGTGGGATTGAGGGAGGACTCATAGCCGCCAATTCGACCCCAAGGTAGATCGCTCCCATTCCTACAGCTCGGTGCAATGCGTCAATAAGAGGCTGATGATCTGCTTCGCGCAGGACATGCTCCTCCCGGGAGTTCCGTTGTTTGTGGCTATCGTTTGTGGAGTCACTAGAAGTCCGAGATCGAGGAATTCTCCTGGTGCTTCAAGCTAGAGCAAGGAGAAGTTGAAGAAGGGCGGCGGTCCTCCGGGTCTGGTGCTCTGACTTCGGTACAGATGAACGGGTTAACGAATAGGCTGTAAAAGGGAAGATCACGGCGTGGTAAGGGATTCCGAAGGCGTTTTCTCTAGCGCGTCAAGGCCCGAACAGGCCTCTGGAGCAAAAATGGTCTCGTAAAAGGCTCGGAGGAGGGCGGTCACGCCCGGTTACGCGACGATGCTCATACTAGATATAGGATCGAAGGTCACCTAGACAACGACGCAGGTCGCGCTTCGGGAGAGCGACGCCGATCCGGAGGTCGGAATACAAGAAGGAACAGCTCCAGGCCTCCACGTCTTCCCCAGCGAATCGATCGCCGAAACGTATCACCGGATTCTCGGCAAGCGGGGATATAGGTCAGCGAGATCTCCGTGGGTGAGCCACTCGCTCACGTCTCAGCCGGGTGTGGTCTTAGGACAGCGTCCATTAACACGGACTTCGGAACATACTGAAGTCGGAGAGGTTTGCCTAGGTCACGCGTTTAGCAATACGGTGTCCGCCAAGGAGGTTCTTATCTAATACCGTAGCCGTCTGTAATCACGACGCTGGCCTGAATCGCACCAATCAACGAAAAGGATCTAGCGGCTCTTCAGCGAGCGGAGAGGCGACCGTTTTCTTTCTTCTTCACACCGCGCAGACTCAGCGCGCATGAGGATCAGAAGAAGCGAAATGGACACTAGGTCGAGGCTACCAAGGGGCGAGGCCGGCATCTGGGGCTCTCGCGAAGGGCGCGAAGATAACGCCAAACCCATGACGAGAAGTGGTCCGCATCGTCGCGGCGGTCGGCGGCAGAAGACAAAGCCAGAGAGCCAGTCGAACAACGTTCAGAGTTGATCCGAGCTTCGTAGCGATACCAGTGATAAATGCCGGGAATCGTGGCGACGGAAAGCGTCAGCCCCGGAACGGAAGCTTCTCGACATCGGGAATTAGCAGTTCGACAAATTTCGAGAGGGGGATCGCTTCCATCACTGTCCGTTTAACGGCTAAGTTGGATATCACGTCCCTCGTGGAGGAATAGTATTCGCTGAGGATCGAGCCCAACAAAGACCTCAGTTTCGTATTCGTCAAAAACGCGAGGAAGGCACGAGGAAGACTCGTTGGTAGCCTCTTCGTCATCGAACGCGAGATCCCCCGTTCAGGGGAATATCGCGCGTGCCGTGGACTCGAGCGGCATCCGGAGCATATACCGCCTTTCAGTCGGAATCGGGATGGAACGAGACGTTGAAAATGGTAATCCTCGGACGGTGTTGTATCGTTGAGGCTCGTCCTGTCCGCGTTTGGGTCGCGGCTTTGGGTCACAGCCTCGGGTCACGGCCTCGGGGGGTGTCATCGTCGCTACGGTGCCTAGACCAAGACGAAGAAAGTCGTTACGCGAGCAAGAGAAGATTAGCGGACTCCACAAGGGCGAGAGGGAACGCAAAATCCATCACCGTAAGTCGCGAAAGCAAACCAACTTGCGGGCGAGGTACTCGCTCACATTGTAGATGCGCGTCCCCGACGGAGGAGAACCCGCGATGACTGCCGCACCATCAAGATTAATCTTAGCAACTATAGGCTAATCTGAGGAAGTGCACATAGAATATGACTCACCTCGACCAAGATCGGCACCGCTCCCTCAATCCCACATCCAAACACGCGTCAGGATAGCACCGAACTCACTGAGCAACGTTGCCGTAGGTTTGGGTAGCTTGATCGTACATTGAAGGCTACGGTACAAAGTCCCACAATTAGTTGTGAATTAGCGAATTTCCCGTCTCGTCCGTTCGCGAACTAACAGAGTTTGCGGCCAGCCCTAGATCATTATACCCCTTCCATAAAAACCCAGTGGCAGGATAGTTCTCACCCTGCGAAACGATTAGTGCGCGTGCTGTGGCGCATTGCCGATGCTACTCTACTTCCGGTTAGCGCCAGGACGCCACCCGCGGGCGACGTACGATCACGATTGATCGACGACAGCTATGCAGACCAAACAAGCGCAGACCGAGATTCGATTGGTAATCGTGTTGGCCTTGATCACTATTGCGCTATAAGTATATGTTGCGCAGGCATTCGTCAACCAGGTAGATGTAGGGCGGTGTTGCGAAGGAAAATCTGGTGATCCTTGGCATGGTGTTGAGTTTTACGAACACAGGCATCCCTGCAGACATGCGTCATACTCCTACGAAGACAGCGCCCATCTCCGCCATACCAATTCTCGGGGAGGTGGAATCCTGCTCAACAGGATAGAGCATTCCCAATTCGGAAGCAGGGTCCTGGCTCGGGCACGATGAAATGTCTCCTAGCCAGGCTGGGCTGAGAGGGCGGAGAAAGGCATTCATGCGTCTTTATAATTTGTATAGGCCATGCTTTAACTTCCAATTCCCTGCGTCGCGCTTCGCCTTCGCCGCCAAATGCGCTAGGAACCCAGCCACGCCCGTGAACGACGACAAAAACCCCCCACCACCCATAACCACGTCCTGCGTGAAGAATCCGCCTGGAGACGACAGATGTCCAAGAGAAGACGCAGATCGGTTCGTAACTGGCTACCAAGACGTCACTACCAGTGACATGTAGGCCCAGCCGTCACGCGCGCGCCCTTTACATGAACACGACCGCTAGCATTGCCATAGCCGCAATACCCCAGCTGCGCGTCAACATACTACCCAGAGAAGGCACCGCGGTAGGGGCCTCGGCGCTTCCCTGAGCGATGTGGTTCCCAGTTCGCAGGCACATGATGTGCGCCTTGGCCCATGTCCTCCTCGTCGGTTCCAGGAGCATAGTAATAGTCGGCTCAATAAGCGTCGTGAGATTGTTGTACGCGTCAAGATGCTGGGGCCCGTAGGTGGATTTGGCCCATGAGCGAATAACATGGGACGCATTGCTGGCAGCGGGCGGGAAGGAGCAAGCTTGGTGTAGCAGCGGGGTTGCGAAAGCTGTGTTGCATCAGCCTCTATCTTTCGAAATCGTACCAACAACCCCAGCCAAGGGGTACGTCACTTACGGAATGGTTCAAACCAGGCATGTTCGCTCAGGTCGTCCTTGCACGAGTTAATCGGATTGCCGTCTCCAAGGTCTGTGAGCGCCTTGCACAAGTCCTGGGGTTGCTTGTCCTGGCCCGCCTCGAACATGTGCCCCCGCGTCCGCTGCTCAGCAAGCCCAACCAATGTGTCGCGACACGTAGCACTGAGCGACGCGTCACAGCGGCCCTCCGTGTCCTTCTGTCCTTCAACGCGCTTGCTGTGCGATAGGCCGTGAATGATGACGCCACATCCGATGTAGCTGGAATTTGCCGAGAGGAGATTGGGGACGGGATCAACGTTGAGCCGAAGCACTTGCCCGATGGTAGTAGTGCTTCCATTACCCTCGCCGTTTCGGACGCCAGATTGCGTTGCGATGGTCCAAGTCCACTGGCCGGAGCCATTTTGGAACATCCCTGCGGGCGTCTGGAAGGGGTTGTCCATCGTTACGCTGTCGGAAGCATTGACCTGAGTATTCTCGATGTTGCACTCAAGCTGGGCGAGGCAAGGACTAAAAATCCCTGCAACGACAAGTAGGATGAAAGAAAGAGTCTTCATGGTTGGTTGCGCCGTGCGGGATATCACCGTGCGGGCTATGGTAGTTGAGTGTGGCTTGTGTAGGTGCTGAGCGAGGGACTTTATAAGGTTGGAAGAAGGTGGTGATGAGAGAATTGAGGGGGATGGACGACTTCACCGGAGTAAGGGAAAGTCGTACCTTCTGATCGGTTGGTCCCACATCATCCCGCCTGTTCGCGTCACATCCACTCCCGCCCTCTTAGGTTACTTCTCTCTCCCTTCCGCTTATTTGCGTCACCTTCACTCCCGCCCTCTCAGGTTACGCCTCTCCTCCTCTCGCTCGTTTGCGTCACCTTTACTCCCGCGCATTCCCGCCCGCTCCTTCTTAACGTTTTACCCCATCGTAATAGATTATCTGGCAACTCTATTGGTTCCACCAAATGGCAAGGAACATGTGGACGCGGTCAATCGAGGTAGGAGCGGGGGATATAAAGTACTTGCGAGAATCCATTCAATTGACTACAAGCATTTCTGGCCTCTCTAGCCTCATGCATCCGAAATCTCCATCATCTAAGAACCGCCCAGGGACCATGCTTCTTTTCACCGTCGCGGTCGGTCTGGCCCTCGCTGGACATGTCCTTCCTGCCCACGCCAGCGAGATGGAGGACCTTGCTTTACGTCAGGCCCCTCATCACAAAACACGTTTCTACCCCAAGGGAACCCGAAATGTGAGTGCCTGGACCGTGTGGACTGGTGGGAATTCAGAGAATCACTGTCGTGCAAGTATGTTCTGGCCATACCGTAGACCACATGTTGATAGAAAATGGTTCTAACCTTGGTCAAGACTGTACCCTCGGCACGGAGTCTACCATCTCTACCACTATAGAGTGGAGTGGGTCACTCGGTGGAGGAATTGGCTTGTAAGTACCTGCTCTATACTATCAGAGGAGCCACAAGAGTTGTGCTGATCTTTGGCTTGCAGGAAACGAGCCATTGATGCTGGGCTGAACTTCGGTGTTGCTGTTTCGGTTACCAAGTCTACCTCTACGTATACAGAGGCACATTGCAACGCGAACAACTACGGGTGTGTCTGCGGTTTCATGTACTGGCTCCCGGCGGTTGAGTCGTTTGGTAAGAGGGTTGAGATTACTACCTTTCGCGATTTCGAGTACGACTATGTGGTACGGGCTCCGGTGCTAGGCCCTCATGGGGTACCAGATATCTTTTGGGATAGGTGCAAGTCTTCCAAATCGTCGGATGACTGCGATGAGTATCCTTGGTCTGAATACCTACCCTGCCCTGATGGTGTGTAGTTGGAGGATGTCTTAAGCTCTCTTTATCGTGTCTTATTTTGCCTTTGGGCGATGCTGGGTGTGTCTGGAGATCTGAGCAGCTTCTTGTAAAAGCTCAGGTGTTATATAATAAAAATAGTGTCTATTAGGTTACAAGGAACCTCCTCCGCTGGTTTTTTCGTTGCTATGCCTGAGTGCAATAGTGTATCCAGGAAATGATCAACAAGCATCTCCGTATAGACGAGGGGATCAAGGGATCTCGCAGCTCCCCCGGGTCTTTAACCGACCAGCGAAAGGTCTCGGAAGCTACATTGCTGGGGAACGAGGCCAACTACGAAGAAGTTGGGGTTCGACGGCAACCGTGTCCGCGACAGCGAAGCTCAGGTAGAAGCGCTCCACGCGAGTGATCTGTAAGGCAGCGTATAGTCCAAGATCCTTCATCGCTTTGCAGCCACAGTTGAGGGAGGCGCGAGTTCTCGTTCTCGGCAAGCTCTAAAGCTGAGAGGGCCAGAGGGAATGATCCAAAGGTAAGCTCCGTCGGACACGAAGCAAAAATCCATCCCGCCGCCGAAACGTATGTAGCTCTCATTTTCCCGGACATCCAGACGTCGCAAATCACGGAACATCAACTTTCATATAGCTACGCGAAGAGTACGGGTTGTGTAGAGCCCTTCCATCCCCAATGTACAACGCCTCAGTTCCTCTCTCTCTTTTTCTCCTCAGTCTTACAGTGCGAGGATTGCTGACATATCTGCCAGACCGCTGCGTGGCTGGATTCGCCGGGTTTTGCCCATCGCGGACCCGCTCAGTAGTTGCTCACGAACCCGGGTCCATACTCCCGTACGAGTAACCACAGCCAACGCAGAATTCCTCTGCAGGGGGTCTAAATAATTTTTGGGGGGCGCCTCAACTGTCTCGTCTCGTTTCCGCACTGCGACTACGTGTTCTTCAACGAAGTCGGATTGCCTCTGACGGGCGCTGAAGGGTGAAAGAGATTCGTACGTCAAGTCGAGACATCCGGCGAGGGCGATGCCAGCTCGACGCTGGGGAGGGGGATTTCCTGATGATCCCTCAACTTGGCCTTAACTTCATATTCAGAGCTGGTGCGGCGCTCGTCGTCATTTTGAGCGCAACTCGGCTTCGGCGTTGGTATGTTAACACTCGTAGGTCCGGAACGGAGTGGGAGCCCTGGATCCTGTTGTCCTTCGATGCCGTAGTGTTGATAGAGGAGTGCGACTGTGTCAACAGGCAGTCGTTCTCCATCAGCTCAACGAGCGCCTAAAGGGCGTTGTTCCTTCCACTACTCCCGTTTCTCGTGATCGACGCTGGACTTGTCGCTTCGGAACCACGAACCGGCGAAAGGGGACAGCATGCGCGGCTTTTATTAAGTCTGCTCCATGGCCGTGGAGCTCAAGCTCGTTCGTCTGGAGCTTGTGGCCTGGAGGCTCGAGACAAGTGCAAAACTTTACAGCTAGCAGCCTGATGCTTTCGAACACGTTTGGTACTCTCAGCGCCTACTTGTAGAAGATCTGCATGCGATGTAGTTCTCAGGTGCTAAAGTTCTACTTTTCGCAGCTATTTGCATGTTACATTTTCTTAAGCTTCCCTGTATATTAGACTACAGGTCAAACTTGTGCTTACGCGTATCCTTATCTCTAAGACTCTACTCTAGGTCCTTTCTCTAGTTCTTTTAATCTAGTCTTTAATAGCGAGAGAAGAAGAAGACGCTAATTAAAGGTCTCTAATAGTGTAATCTGCAGAATAAAGCTTCTATATTATTTCTAATAGAGTTTATAGTAATCTTCTACTATTTCTAAACTAAACTACCTAGAAAGTTTTAGTAGTAGGTACTATAAGATAGTATTTTTAGTAGGTAAGAAGAGAGAGAGAGAGAGAATAAAAGAGTATTATAGATAGACGCTAAGAGAAGATATTACGTTTTACTACACGCCTTCTAAGTTTAGAGAATACTATAATATACTTCTAATAGTAAATATCTTTTAAGTATAGATTTTCTTTAAACTTTAATTTTATCTTAATTTTTAATAGTAACTTATTTTTTATATTTTACTTCTATATAGACTAGTAGGTATTATACTAATAAAATAGAATCTTAGTATATATACTAGAAAAATAGATAAGAATTAAAAAATAGTAAGTATACTACTTAGTATTAAAGATATTACTAGAAGTATATATAATTACTAAAAGCTATAATATACTTTATAAGTAAACTAACTATATAAGTAAGCTAACTACCTTTCTTTTAGTAAGAAAATTAATAAAAATTAACCTATTTTTCTTAAATAACTAAGTAAAACCTTAATATTTTTCTATAAAAATTTATATATATATTCTTTATAGTATATTATATCTTATAGTAAAGTTATACTAAGATATATTATATAATTAAAAAGCTATATATATTTAGGTAACTTTTAAGAAAAATCTAGTTTACTTCTAGTTAGTACTATTATATCTTTATAATAATATATAAAACTTATATTATATAGTATCTATAATCTAATAAAAGTTTCTAGAAAACTTTTATAGAGCTAGCTCTTCTAGATATAGTATAATAAGTATTAGTAGCTTAGAGTTAGGTCTAGATAATAGTTTAATATTATAGATATTAGATAAGTAAGATTAAGTAAGGCGTACTATATATATTAGAGTTATTTATATTAAGTTAATATAAATACTTTCTAGCTTATATAGAGTAAAACTAGAAGGTTAATATAAATTATAGTAGTATATTAATATAAATACTTTTTATTTATATAGAAATATTAATATTAAGTTAATATAAATTATAGCAAAAACTAAGTTAATATAAATACTTTAAAAATTAAGTTAATATAGATTATAGTAAAAATAATATTAGTATAGATTATAGTAGTAGGTTAATATAAATAGATTAATATAAATATATATATAAAAATATAAAGTTAATATAAATTATAGTAATAGATTAATATAAATACTTTTTAGTTTATATCTAAAAACTAGAGGTTAATATAGATTATAGTAGTAGATTAATATAAATACTTTTTAGCCTATACATAAATATTAATATTAAGCTAATATAAATTAAATATTAAGTTAATATAAATTATAGTAGTAAGTTAATATAAATTATAGCTAAAATATAAGTTAATATAAATTATAGCTAAAATATAAGTTAATAGTTTAAATATTATCTTACTTAGTTTATATTTAAACTTCTAATAAAAGTTAAATATAAATATAGATTTAGAAAAGGTTTAGCTACTTACTTTAAGTTATAGCTAGCTAAACTATTAAGCTATTCTTTAAGTATATATACTCTATATCTATTTACTCTTAGACTCTTCTATAGTAGTAGCATGTATACCTACTATAAGTAGAGTAAGATATAGATATTCTCTTATTAAAAGTAGCTTTTTAGTACTATTTAAGTATAATAACTTATTTTAGAGCTATAAGTTAGTACTAAACTATAGGTATATAAGAAAAAGAGTTAATAGAAGTATACTAGCTTAAAGAAGTATAAAGAGTAATAATATTAGATAATTAGAAGTAGATATATATAAGAATAGGTTACGTTTCTACTACTATTATAAATAGCGCTTAATTCTTTTATTTATAGTTA